CGTTGGGTAGCTGCCAAGGAAATAATCTAGTATGACAACTTGCACAATCTCTTTTTGATACAGCTATGAAGGTCAAATTACCTGAAGCAACAGAATACATTCAGGCTTTATGGCATCACATTTCTTATTGTTTTGGAAGAAAAAGCTGTGTTCTCAAAATGGTGCATTGTCTCTGGGCATCTCACCCTCCAATATCTCTGAGGGACGACTAACTAGATATTGTAACCCTGAGCAGTGAAGATAGAAAGTGGCTTAAGTTTTTTTCTTGACCTGTGTGGCCTTTACCACTAAATATCGTGTTCCCTAGACCTATGCAAATGTTTGGACTGTTTACACTCTTATACAGTGGTTCTGCTCCTTTCTCCTGGGCTGTGTCCAGAAAGTGGTTTTGGGGGGATGAGTGTTCAGACCCCTGGGCTCTCACATGTGGGGTGCCTCAGGGTTTCGTCCTCTCCCCCATGCTTTTTAATATCTATATGAAGCCACTGGGAAAGATCATCGGGGTTTGGGCTGGGTGTTCATCAGTACGCAGATGATATGCAACCGTGCCCCTGAGGGAGCAGGTGCACAGCCTGGGAGTCATTTGGACTCACAGCTGTCTATGGAGGTGCAGGTAAATTCTGTATCCGGGGCAGCTGTCTACCAACTCCATCTGGTATGCAGGCTGAGACCCTACCTGCCCACAGACTGTCTCGCCAGAGTGGTGCATGCTCTGGTTATCTCCCACTTGGACTACTGCAATGCACTCTACGTGGGGCTACCTTTGAAGGTGACCCAGAAACTGCAACTAATCCAGAATGCGGCAGCTAGACTGGTGACTGGGAGTGGCCGCAAAGACCATATAGCACTGGTGCTGAAAAACCTACATTGGCTCCCAGTACGTTTCCGAGCACAATTCAAAGTGTTGGTACTGACCTTTAAAGCCCTAAACGCCTCAGCCCAGTATACCTGAAGGAGCGTCTCCACCCCCATTGTTCAGCCCGGACACTGAGGTCCAGCACCAAGGGCCTTCTGGCGGTTCCCTCACTGCGAGAAGTGAGGTTACAGGGAACCAGGCAGAGGGCCTTCTCGGTAGTGGTGCCCACCCAGTGGAACGCCCTCCCATCAAGGAAATAAACAACTATCTAACTTTTAGAAGACATCTGAAGGCAGCCCTCTTTAGGGAAGTTTTTAATGTTTGAAGTTTTATTCTGTTTTTAATGTTCTGTTGAAAGCCGCTCAGAGTGGCTGGGGAAACTCAGCCAGATGGGCAGGGTAGAAATAAATTATTATTATTATTATTATTATTATTATTATTATTATTATTATAAACAGGCTCTGCCTCCAACATACACCATGTTCAGTTGAATGTCTGCATGGACTCTACATACTTAATACCGAATGTGCCATAGACATTGACCAGGACAATATACATAGAACACTGTTTTTCCAGAGTTCCCAACTACTACATGACTTTAGTTCAACACAGAGACAATTTAGAACCCCAAAACAATCTGTCAAAGTTAGAGAAATGAAAGGAAGAATCAAAGACGTGTGAAACTGTTCAGTTGAGCAATTTCAGTGCTATCTTATTAACAGAATTTTGCTGACTGACAGTGAGTAAGAACAGAGATCAAAGTACTTGATGCCAAGTTCAATATCTCAGCTGAAACCCAGTAATCAGATTGTTTATATTGTGCTGACTGTTCTAATGACCCCAATGCTATTAAATCCAAGTTTCAGGCAAAGTAATGCAATAAGCAGAATGTTGAGGCTCTGAAAGGAGATCTAAGCTTGGGGAAATTGCTTTCTAGCTGTGAACAAAAGAGGCTTACCCTCTCTAGTTCCCTCATTGTGCATCACATAATTTTTTGTTTGTCTCTGTATATTCTAGTGAACTGCAAAGTTTATTGTGCTTATGCTTTCAAGAAAGTGCTTGACTTGCAAGTTAGCCTGTAAATAAAAAGGGTCTGATTTGATCATGGACTAAACTGATCTGAACTCAAAGAAAAAACAGCTGCATGGGGCTGGCCTATCCACTTCCCAAAAGAGGCATTTGTTAAGTATGCTGATGAGGGTGCCTCATAAGTAAGTAACACAGGGTGTCATCCTACTAAATCATACTCTGAATAGACCTATTGAAATTAATGGACAAAACTAACTTAGGTTCATTAATTAAAGCAGGTCAGTCCTATGTGGAGTACATACATTGGGCTGCATTTAACTAAGTTTTACTAATAGTAGGACTCATTGAAGTAACTAACCTTAGTTGCTCTTATCCATTACTTTCAATGCGACTACTCTGACTATGACCTATTCTGAATAGTTGCAAAAATATCTGTGACCAGCCTTACCAAACAGGTACCAGTAATTGTAGCTGAACACAAGCTAGTTTCCCAGTGTATATCTAAAGTGGGTACATTACCTAATTGGACATAAACTCAATGGCTCCACAGTCAACGGTTATTTGATTATCAATTATTGTGCTTTCTGTGGTTTGACTATGTAAAGCTTTTCACCACTGTGGTAATTGTGAGAGTGTAGCTTCCCAGTTCACCTTAATTTTTAGAGGTGTTTTTAATGTCTCACTTGAGCAGCCGATATTCTGCAGCCGATATTCTGCTAAGTATGATTTAGTTGTGAAATTACTTCAGAGTTCCAAATTAGGCTTGAAGTGGCTGTTCTCTAGAGTACTTAGGAGAGAAAACAATCTGGAGGAAAGTCTTCTGCGTGAAACTGTCTTTAAACGTTTTGAGACATTTAAGTGTTGTATACTGTCTGACTGCACTTTTTAGAAAACACTTCTATTTTTATCTGTGGGCAAAACTGTCTTGGATGTTCAGAACAAGCTGGGGGACACACACACACAAATGAACTTCCTCCCACATTTGTTTAGCATCTCCTTGGCTGTCTCTGTGTGCTTCCCTTTCCTTGGAGAAGTGAATGCATTACACATGTAGGGACAGAAAGCAGACAGATTTCCTTACAGAGGTAGATGCCTGGGAGCCGTTTCTGACATTCTCAAGAAGCGTGGGAAGAGGAAGGACCTCTGGTTTGCATTCTTTCCCCCCCCAGGCTGCTTTGGAAAGTATGAAGCATCTCTGTGACCCTTGACCTTGGATGGTTTGGAAAGATGAAATTCCAGACAGGCTCTTAATCCAAAGGGGGGTGGGGTGGAGAGGAAATGCTTGTTCTTGGCCCCAAAATCAAGCATCTTAGTTGTTGCAAATGGTTTTTAGTCTAATTCATTAATGCCCCAGTCTTTGGGGCTCATGCTTGGAAAGCTGCTTCTAAAAGTGCCATTCAGCATGCCTTTTGATGCCTTCCTTGACTTCATTTCACCACCTGTTTGGGGTTGGTGAAGGAGTTTGCAGCCACCAATAGGTCACAGATGCTAAGAATAAGGCCCTGTGGCATAACAGAAGAAGCTGGTTTTGGATGAGCCATGGAGCTCACTTAGCCATGGAGGCAAATGGGCAAACAAAAGGCGCAGAGAGGAAGCTTCCAATCAAAGGGATGGATGGAGAAGATGATTGTTGAGTTAAAATTGTAGAAAATATTGGCCATGGGAATGAATGGATATTGTCAGATCACATGTGTATATACTTCACTAACCAAACCTTCTGTCAAGTTCCCTTCGTATACAGCAATATCACTTACAGTTCATATTTTATAACTGCACAAAGTTCATCTTTAAAGGTGAGCCTAACTGAGAGAACCTGTGTAATGTTCATCTTATTTTATCTTTCTGATGTTTTGGGTAGATAAATGATTGAATCTAAAATTCTGATTGATGAAAGATGAACCACTAGGAATCCAACAGGCCAAAATCTGAGCTTGGTTAATAATTATGATTGCTGACATTTCAGCCAGACAGTAATTTGAATACAGATTATTCTGTGATAGGGAAGCAGTCTTTGCAGATTAAATTTCCATTGTAAAAGCCCTTAGATTAGAAGCCAGTCTTTATGGGGATGCAATTTTATAGCAGGTTGCCATAGTTACTTATGAAGGCTTACTGCATTTCCCTTGCTTCACCTCTGTCTAAATGTTGCAGTGCCCTTTGTGCAAATAAGATCAATCCATGTCAATTCTTAGTTGTTTTTACTAATTTTGCTACCACTGCAACTCTTGGAGAAATTTGAGTTAAAGCTGCCGAGTTGCCGCAGGGCACACAATGGCTAAATTCGGACATCATGCCAAGCCATGGTTTACTGTGCAAAATATGGATCTATAGGGTAATGCAATGAAGAAAGTAACATTTTGTAGCACTGGAACTGGAACTAACAAAAATAAAAGCAGTTAAGAGAGTATGCAGTGAGATACTGCATAGAACTTCAGCACAGAATATTTTTATGTGATTGCTTCACTGTTCTTCATAAAATTGCATGTTTAACTTCCATTTGTGGAACTGAAGCTGAGAGAGGTATTCTCAATATATTGCTAAATATCAACCATAAAACAAGAAAAATATGCCAGAGAGCATGTGCCCTAATATTGTGTATGTGTGAAATTATTATTAGGGTTAGGTATGAGAGATGCTTTTAGTTTCCTGCCATGTAATATATTAGAATGGTTATTCTCCTTGAAATGGATAAGAAAGGTGGCATAGCTAGGAAGTGCTCTCATTTGTCACGCTGCATCATTGGAGTCCAAAGACCTTCCCAAGCATTTGCCCTGAATTATGTACAATAAGGGCCTAAGAAGAGCCTGCAAGATCAGGCCAAGGTCCCATATAGTCCAGCATTCTGTTCTCACAGTGGCCAATGAGATGCCCATGCAAAAGCCTGTAAGCAGGACGTGAGTGAGACAATGATGTATTCTCAAGTGAACACCATCTGATGAACAATTGACTATGTCCATCCATGGCAATAGCATTCCAGATTTCATAATGGCATTTTAACACTGGCTAAGGAGCACTTCACTATTCAGTCTTTGTAACTGGGTGGTTTAAACCTCTGAAATATTTAATGAAATCCATTTTCAAGGTTGACTCTTATTTCATGTAGCTATGAGTACTTTGCGTGGTGGAGGGAGCGTAATGCATCCTTCTGTTTGCTCTTTAGGTCTGTCAGCAGCCAAGTTGCTGTTTGACTCGGGATTGAGTGTTGTGGTCCTGGAAGCCCGTGACAGGGTTGGAGGCAGAACATTCACGGTCAGAGTAAGTATTCCTGTCTTATCTCTTTTATTCATTCATTCACAAAGCATCACAAAATGATGCTCAAATTGGCTCACAACAAAGAAAACAATAATGCATTTCAAAATCAAACATTGCAAACTATTTCATAATAACATAAAACAGCAACACAATAGCAAATATTGCAACTCCAAATAACATTGCAGTACTGTATAGCAACATTACATTAACAGTGTTACACCTCCTGGCAAACAGCAAAAATAACAAGAGAGTCTAACACTGTTTCCTGGTCCTAGAAACCCCAGTCCCGTGATGTTGTTCACAGTTCCCCTTTTGCAGCAGCTTCTTACAAGGCTTCCAGTGGCAGGAGGTGGGGTAGCTGAAAACTCCTCTCCCATGGTGTTATTTATTACATTTGTATCACAACTTTCTTTCCATCATGGAAGGTGTGGTACATAGGGTTCCATGGCAGTCTCCCACCAAAATGCTAGCCATGCTTGTACCCAGTTCGCATCAACAGGTTTCTGTACCACAAGCCTTCAGCCCATGCACTGCACTGCTGCAGAAATTGTGTGTATGTATGTGTATGTATTGTGTGTATGTATTGTGTGTATGTATTGTGTGTGTGTGTATGTATGTATGTGTATATATGTATGTGTGTGTGTGTGTGTGTGTGTGTGTATTCATCCCATGGCACAGAATTGAGGGCAAAAATGGAGAATCACAAGTTTTGTCTGATAGCCATTTGCCAAGAATGTTTCCTTTGTTCCCTTCTCTGCCAGAATAAGCATGTCAAATATGTGGACCTGGGAGGGGCATACGTGGGGCCAACACAAAACCGTGTCTTGCGACTATCTAAGGAGCTGGGACTAGAGACCTATAAAGTGAATGAAGTAGAACATCTCATTCACCATGTCAAGGTATGACTAGAACTTTTTTCTGAATGTGTATGTTTTTGGAATTAGGATGGTGGCTCATAACATCTTTATTGGAATCCCTAAATAGGATAAAGATCAATGTTTAAGCCTAACTGGGGTTATGTATAATCATTCTTTCTGCAAGAAGTTGGGAGTTTGACTGGATCAAGTGATCTAATCTGATCGTGGAATCAAAATAATTTGATGGATTATTGCAGTATTAAATAATATGATTAACTGTAGTGATACCCTGTTGAAATTTGATCAGCTATATAACCAAGATGCAGAATTAAGCAATGAGGTGGCTGTTATTTCCTGGGTTTTGAAGTGTTTAATGCCTTCTAAAGAGATACGCAAAATTCTGTTAGATGCAGAATTTCAGGCAGTTCAAACATGCTGGCATCATCTAGTTGGGATATTTGCAGTAAAGGGTAGCAATATTTATCTTATTATTTTAAGTGTCCCTTCCCCTCAGTGCTGTGAAAGTGTAGTTTTCCGGTAGCAGCTCTGCTGTATCTGAGAGAGTCTTGGAAGAAAACCTAATTGGTCTTTTCTTAGATGAATGCCCAGTGGCAGACCTGGTTATCCTGAGAGATTTTAATGTCTGGATAGCTTTCTAATTATGTCTCAAAGGCCATCTCAGCATATAATGCTAAATGATTTAGCATGGGCCAGCATGATTACTATATTACAAATTCAGTTTCATTTTCTTGAATGGGGAAAGGTTAGGGCTGATGATGACTGCCTGGACCATTTTACCTGTATGTCAGATAAGGGCGGAAATATTAATCATCATGTTATTACATTACATTGTATTTGGCAGTAACTTTTACAGTTGCAATAAGGGCAGATAGTGATCATCCTTGAACGGAAATGGTTTATAAACCCTCTGGCTTCCCAGATATTGCAAATGTGCCCAAGGTAGAAGTAGACAGATGGACTCACGTTTGAACTGGTCATTCACTTTTGCATTGGGTGTTCAGACCTGTGGTTGGAGCAGAATGCTTGCTGTAAGGAAGGAATATTGAATCTAGATCTTGTGCATCAAAGAAGCAACAGGAGCCTGCAAATATGGTGGGCAAGTTCAAAATTCAAAATGTGCAGTTCAGCCTCCAGCCGTCCATTTGCCCCCAAATAGCTCTTTCATTCATGTTCCTGTTTCTTACTCTACTGCCTAATCTGCACATTTCTCTTAGTCCCATTGTGTCTAGGTCTGGTGTCCCTTGGCTCCCCTTCCTTTTAGTCTGGCCCACAAAACTACTTCTCTTCCTGGGACCTGTGGGTCAGTATTTAATCCCAGGCAGGCAGACAACTTTCCATTCTGACAGTTTAGTTATCTGAGCAGTTCGAATATTTGTGAACATTCGAGCCAATTGGTATCTGAGGCTTTGCTGCCTTGAGCACAATCCAGTATAGATTAGGTTATAGCAGTTCTTTCCTTTAGGTGGAATGACAAAAGCTAAATATCACTCAAAGTAACAAACAAAACAGTGTCTACCAAAAGGTCAATATATGTTGATAGCAGCAAAGAGTTATTAGGGAGAACTATGATCAGTCTATGTTTTCCAAGCAAAAACCACTATAACATACATAATGGTATATTACAGGTAAAATGTTTGTTTAAGTAAATGTTCTATGCATACCCCAGTGCATTTAAGTACATTTACCATTTAAGCTCCATCATTACCACATCAGCAGGCCAGGAATTACTGGCTTGGTAATACTACATGTAGGCCCACCGACATGTAGCAAGTGCATGATGGAATATGTGTGGGATGTTAAGCATTCTACATGGGGCTGGCTTCATGTGTTTTGGCCCTTAAGTGATGTTTTATTGGTGTACTAATCAATAAATATGAGACAAATTACTGAAATATTTTGTTTGCTAACTGACACCAAGGCATTGTAATCAATGGATTGCGCGTAGGAGAAGTGGGCTTCACTTCTAGTTCAGATATGAGAGTGTCGTTCACCATATTAAGCTTACTTTACATCTGTATAACTGGAATAATAATTACCTTATTTATTTTTAAAAATAACAAGGGTTTTTCAGGATTTTGCACACCTGCAAAATGTTTTTTCTAAAAAAAAAAGTTTAGGGGTACTCTCATTTTGACTCAAGAAAATCACCATTTTATAGTTCAAATCTGGGAAAATAAATACAGTAAATGGACAAAACTTCAAAGATGCACAAAATGTTTAGGGGTATGCGTACCCCTGCATACCCACAGAGAAAGTACTGCCTGTCTGACGATCCAATATGGGAATGATGTCATCCTTTTAGATTAAAGCATTAGTGGATGCCTTTGCAAGAAATGTAAAGGATTCACCTCAACGTTATCTTTGAAAGTTTTAATGAGGGTCATGTAAAACCAGTGCATTTTTCCGGGGGTATTCTGGGGGCACCTCCCCCCCCCCCATATGTTAACAGTGTGGCACTCACTGTAATAACTTCATGGTGGGTACCAGCACTATTTTTCTTATTAAAAAGCACTGTATAAAAATCTTTCTGTTTCTTTTCTGATGGTGAATACTTCAGAGTTGATTAAGTTCACTAACTGAGGTGCTTCTTTAATTCAAGGAGTATGAATGACTTCTAATACCAATTAACAAAATAATTTCAGACCAGGATGGACTGTATGTTAGAAAATAATTATTATACTATGGAATAAGCGATTGAGTGGAGGCAAATAGAATGGTCCACGGTGAGTTTTCTTAAGAGATTATTCTCTCTCTCCCTCTCATTCACACACACAAACACACACACACACAAACAAACACATACCACAGAACACAGCACAATTTTTATTCAGAGAAGGCTTCTTCAGATAATTAAAGTGACATAGTGGGGTGTGTGTGACAAGACGTTTGTGTCACTCAACTAATGATGTCATGGTCCCTATCCAGTGGGAGGAGCTTGTGATGGTGATATTCACGCAACCACATTCTGCTCTGCCCTCACAGGAATCCTAGTGGGGAGAAATAATCAATCAACAAAGCATTGGAGGGAAGATACCTGGTTCCAATGCAACAAATAAGTTACAGCTGCACAATTGTTTTTATAAGACTGACCTTCTGGGTATGGTATGCTTGGGTATGGTGTATCTGTGTTCTTGCTTAACCCATTGTAGTGTGGAGAAGATGGGCTACTCTGGTCGCAGTATTTAGATTTGGAAAACTTATTTGCAGAGGGTTGGACTATGCTGATTCTGTGCTGGAGATTTGGCCATTTGATGTCTCCTATGTTCCACCTATGTAGTTGTGTGAAAATTCTTACATCACAAAACGGCATAAGTCACCAGTGGGCTCCTCCAAAGGAAACGAAATGCAGGCAATTACTTGCTGCTCAGAGAAGTGAGGTGAGGAAAGCAATATAATTTTACATACACGTTCATGAATATGAATAGGGCATGTGGTAGTCTGGGGACTTTTGAAATAAAAATATTAGTTTTTTGCCTTCTGCACCCTTCCACCTACCTTACCATGGGGGGGAATTAACACCTCAATCACTTCAAAATGTATTCTTCAACAGGTGATGAATATCTTATCTGCAAACATGTATATATTTCTTAATTAAGAGGGTAGGTTATTATTTTCTCTAAGTTTCCTCTTCCCTTCCTCTTTTGGTTCCCATAAAATATTAACCAAAGCCACAAATCTGTCACTATGTAATGTCTTCCTTCCTTCTTCCTTGGCTCTAACCATTGAATTACAACTTTGCAAGGCTCTCTCAAGCCTTGTTCATTTTCATTCCTGCTCTGGAACTGTTTATTAAAATGTTGTTTGCCGTCTTCTTGTTTATGAATAAAATATGCAAAGCAGCTGGAGCATTCAGACTTAATTAGCCCCAAAGTACGTGATTGCTGTATTGGAACACATTCAATTTTGTGGCATCTCTTTTATGGCTGGAGATACATGTGTAAGAGTTAAATACTCTGATTTATTCTCATCCTTGACATGCTCCACAAAATAAATGGCCATTTCCATGTGCAGAGATCAGAGTAGAACAGCTTAAATGGATTTTAAATGACTGGGTGAAATTGCTTTCGTTTTTCATTTTCAAACTTTTCTTTGGAGACCTGTTCTAATTAAAGCATAAATATTAGTGTCAAGATGACTTAAGATGTTGTCATCCTTCTCAGGTTTTCCCCAGCCACTGGAACATGGGCTAAGGCCTTGTCTAAAAGCTGAAAATAAGAGCATATAAAAAGAATTATGCAGGATCTGACCAGAGCCCCATCCTGTCCCCACAGTGGCCAAACAGATATCAGAAAGAGCTTCCCTACTTGATACTCAGGTATTCAGAGGCACAATGATACGAGAGGTAGTAATGGTAAAGGTAAAGGTACCCCTGACTGTTAGCTCCAGTCACAGACGACTCTGGGCTTGCGCACTCATCTCGCTTTACTGGCCGAGGGAGCCGGTGTTTGTCCGCAGACAGCTTCCGGGTCATGTGGCCAGCATGACTAAGCCGCTTCTGGCAGAGCTGCGCACAGAAACACCGTTTACCTTCCCACTGGAATGGTACCTATTTATCTACTTGCACTTGACATGCTTTTGAACTGCTAGGTGGGTAGGCACTGGGACCGAGCAACAGGAGCTCACCATGTTGCGGGGATTCGAACTGCCGACCTTCCGATCGGCAAGCCCTAGGCTCAGTGGTTTAGACCAGTGTTTCCCAACCTTGTGCCTCCAGCTGTTTTTGGCCTACAATTCCCATCATCCCTTGCCACTGGTCTTGCTAGTCAGGGATGATGGGAGTTGTAGGCCAAAAACATCTGGAGGCACAAGGTTGGGAAACACTGGTTTAGACCACAGTGCCACCCGCGTCCAGCCATACATCATGAAATAAAAATTTTAAGATGTTCAACCTCATCAGCTCCTCCCCATTTCTCTTTGGGAATAGATCACCCACAGGGGCATCTAAGGTGGTTTTCATTCCACAAACAGTGCTAGACAGATAAAATTCTTGTAAGACGCTCCAAGAACTTGTATTTTTTCCAGTAAAGTAGAACATATTATTTCAGGTCATCCAATTTGTCTTTTCCAATACTGTGTACTTTTTCAAGCAGGCCAGGTTTGCTATTCCTTGTCTCCATGGTTTTGCTTTTACTACTTTCCTTTGAATTCAATTTCTAAAGACTTTAAGCTAATAAAAAAATGTATCTGCTTTTTATGTGCTGTATGTACAGTTGATAGTTCTAGCCTCTCAGGGGCTTTTCTTAAAGAAATAGCTGCAAAGGCAATGAATTATAACAGCTGCACACTTTACATATGCTGGCTACCTTTCACCAAAGATTATTGTTAAAGACACTAAATAAAATGAGACATAACACTGATCCACAAAATCTCTCCTATCAAATGATTCCTGTTGTGATCAATCTATTAACATTCTAGATCATATTATCTTGCTTGTGTAGCAGTTCATTTCAATTAATTTGCCAGTTTAACTGGACACTTAATCAAATACTTATTAAAATTTGATATTACATGCACACAAGCGGCATAATCTACAATCCAATTAAGACAAAAGCGGGTGGCAGTTTGGCTGTTTTGATGGAAGCAGGGAGGCCAACCTAGCCTAAATCCTTTTGCACTGACTTACAGTACAGATTTTAGCTAATGTGTCCATTTCTAATGCTATGTCCTTTATGTGCATGCCTTGAATATTTTAAACTAATAAATGGGGCTATCAGCAAAGCTCACTGATGTGTGTTACGAGTTCCTGAATTATTCTGCTTCAGATTTAGAATCCAAACCGGAGAAGAATTCCTGTCTTACCCCCTGCCCAAAGGTCTCCATCCATCCTGCATTCACCAGCAGCAGTGCCAGCAGTTGGAAGTCCTTGGATCTTTTCCAAGGGCTGTCAGAGAGGCAGACCTCCCTCCTTCACCTTTGCCACTAACAGAGCATTGCTGATCTATATGTTAAAGGGAAGTTTGGGGGGATATGTAAATAAGTTGGTTTGGAGCATAGGAAGCTGCCTTCTACCAAGTGAAGTCTATCTAGTTAAGTATTGTTGACAACAACTCTTTGAGATTTCAGAGGTCCCTCCCAGCCCTACCTGGAGACGCTGGGGATTGAGCCTGGGACCTTCTGCATGCAAAACAGGTGCTGTACCATGGAGCTATGACCCTTCCCCAAAGGTCTTTATGGTATAAGGTACGGATTGGCTCAGAGTTTTCCATCTTAGGAAAGTGTGTGGCGAGTGTGATACAAGTCTGAGCTGCGCCTATCATTGCCATTTAAAAATCTCATCCAAAGATGGTCTGCAGGAGGTTCAAGAAGGGCAGCTGAGGAGTAATGGAGGACTTTCTCCTCCTCTTCCAGTGTCAGCTGCAAGTGCCAAAAAAGGTGGAGGAGGTGCTCCTGCCCTGGTTGGCTGCCTACATGTATGATTCAAAGAAGAGTTATTTGCATCAACTTGGACAGAATGTGGTGTTTTTTTAATGGCAGTCTCAAGGACTTGTTTTCTATATTCATTTGAGAGATCTGTTCTCTAAAACGGATCTTCTGTATTGAATTGCATCCTTTTTTCAATCAAAAACAGATGAAAATAAGCAAATGGATTTGAGTGGTTTTTTCCTTGTTTCTTCTGTTTTGCAGGGCAAATCTTATCCGTTCAAAGGCCCTTTCCCTCCAATGTGGAATCCCATTGCCTATTTGGATTACAACAATTTGTGGAGGACAATGGATGAAATGGGGAAGGAGGTAAACTCCAACTTATTGTCTAGACTGGTGACATCTATCAGAAGCCTTTCATTTGAGCTTCAGTACCCATAAGCCATGGGTAGACAAACTAAGGCCCGGGGGCCGGATCCAGCCCAATTGCCTTCTAAATCCGGCCTGCGGACGGTTGGGGAATCAATGTGTTTTTACATTAATAGAATATGTCCTTTTATTTAAAATGCATCTCTGGGTTATTTGTGGGGCCTGCCAGGTGTTTTTACATGAGTAGAACGTGTGCTTTTTAAAAAAATGCATCTCTGGGTTATTCGTAGGGCATAGGAATTCGTTGGTATTTTTCTGTTATCTAGAAGTGGTCAAGTAACTTACAGAGAAGCAGACATACAAACCTAATTTCAAGATAAAAAAAATAATCAAGAGGGGTTTTTTGGTAATAAAAACAATCATGTGGTATATAAATTTATACAGTAAAAATTAACAAACAATAAATACTGCAATCATATGCAGTATTTATTTGTAGGTCTTTGTTTGTAGGTCTCATTGAACTATGCAGGACTAAATAAATATATAAGCTATAAACAGCGTAAGAATTAATTCCAAGAATGCTCAAATAAAGCAAGACAAATAAAAGCCAATCCATTTCATAGTTCTAAATGGCTTATTCCAAAACAAAAAACAAAAACCCAGAATGAGTCTTCACGTTTAGCAATAAATGAATGGGCTCCTATCTCCCCTCTCGTCCTCCAGTGTCCTCTTCCATTTCACCTAACCACAGCATGATGTTAGGTCTGAACTAGGAAGTGCAGTTAGTTTTTTAAATTATGGTCTATCTGAACAAGCAAGGTCCATAAGACATGGTGGGAAGTTGGCTTGTTAGGATAAATCAAAGTTCAAACTAAACAGCATTTACAGTGGTACCTCGCAAGACGAATGCCGCGCAAGACAAAAAACTCGCTAGACGAAAGGGTTTTTTGTTTTTTGAGCTGCTTCGCAAGACAATTTTCCCTATGGGCTTGCTTCGCAAGACGGAAACGTCTTGCAAGTTTGTTTCCTTTTTCTTAACACCGTTAATACAGTTGCGACTTGACTTCGAGGAGCAACTCATAGAACGCGGTGTGGTAGCCTTTTTTGAGGTTTTTAAAGACTTTGGTATTTTTGAAGCTTTTCCAAAACTTTCCCGACACCGTGCTTCGCAAGACAAAAAAAATTGCAAGACGACAAAACTCACGGAACGAATTAATTTCGTCTTGCGAGGCACCACTGTATCTCACTTTGGATATAATGGCAGGCCATGTTCAATTGAGATTGGAGACAATGCTTTTTATCTGTTCCTCGCAGCTGCACCAGAGGTGACTGCCTGTGCCCATTATGCACATGAACTCAGTTCATGTATTCTATCCATAGCATTGTATCCATACCTTCTCAATGAGCTACTTCGAACTTATTCCCAAGTAAGGGTATATAACATTGCAGACTTAATAATAATAGTTTATTGTGTGGGAAACCCAATAAAAAGAGTACAGGACTTAATTAATTTAAAATATGCTACATAGTATTTTAAAATTTTCCAATGAAAATCTGTCCAGCCCATTGAACACTGCAGTTTGATAGGCAGAATACATTCCCAAAGCACAAAGGCTTTATTTTCTTTTACTAAACTGGGAAGCAGAGGACTTTGCAGAAGGTAAAAACTCTTTGGTGTCATGTATAAATGAAACCCTTTTGTTTATTTTTCTAGAGAATCCTGTCTAAAGTCTTAAGCAGTCTAGAAGTGAACTAGTATGGCGCTCCTGTGGAACCAGTGAAGAGAGTGAATGATTTCTAAATAGGATATCTGTGGCTTCTTTCTTGAGATGTGACTCTCTTTCTCTTTTAGATTCCCAATGAAGCGCCATGGAAGGCGCCCCATGCAGAGGAATGGGACAAAATGACTATGCAAGAATTGATAGACAAAGTGTGCTGGACAAAGTGAGATGCAGTTTTATACATTCCATATTGATAAACTCAATAGCAATAGTACCTAGAGGAAACACCCATCCTAAGTTGAGAAGTAACGCTATCTATTTGCTACAGTAATATTAATCTTTATCATAGTGAATGATGAATTGTGTTCACAGTTGGGAGATACAATGAAATAATGTGCATGTGGAAATGTGGCTATATTGCTCTGACAGTGTGATCATACACATGTCTACTCATGTAAGCTCTGCTGAGTTTAGCAACAGTAAAAAACAAAAAAAAAACAAAACAGACTAGCAGTGGAAAACTCCAAACCCCCAAATAGCAATTCAGAGGACTTCAAATGCTCCTAGAAATTAAACTGTTATCTGCCACCATAAAACTAGCAACAGGGAAATAGATTGGGGTTAAGCAACCCATGGTTTACGAAGTATGATTTTGTACCAACTCCAAGCAGCCTTGGCCAGCATGGACAATGGCCAAGCAACATCAGAAAAGCCACAGCCCATTTTTAAAAAAAAATATGGGAGCTGATTCATTTATTTTCTCTTAGCAACTCTGGTCAATTTGTTAGTCCCATTTTCTACCAGAGGTCATTTCTAAGAACTCTTCAGTGACAGCACCACACATCAGTGGTGGGGAGCCTACAAGCCATGGGCTAAGGTGGTCTGCCCATGTCTCCCTACCTGACCCAGTAGGTGCTCCCAGTTCTTCATGAAAGTTTTAAATTACCTGGTGTCATATGATACCTGGTAATTGACAGATGGGTGGCCCTGCCAGCCTGTCGAAGTGGCTTGTGGAGGGTTGGATCTTGCTCTCCCACTGGATCCAGTTCACTGCCCCTGCTTTAGTGTTAGGCTTTTTTGTTTTTCTGTTTCTGTTTCTGCGTTTGTTTTTCTAGCACTTAACACTTTGGTTTTTGCAGTGAGCATTCCTAAGTTAATGCTCAGCCGGGAGGGTTGTGAGACCTCCCACTCTTCTTCAGCTTCCAGGGGAATGTGGTCTAGATAAAATGAATTAAAACCAATGGTTCCTACACAAACTGAGTCCTATCTCATATTAAGCCCCAGGAAAGACATTTGGGTGAACCTCACTTCTCTCTCTCATTAGAAACCTATCGATGTGCATGTTTCATGTACTTCTATGCATTTGATCTGCCTTTGTGATCAAGATTTATGTTTTTTGAAATGGCTTCCCTTCTCTAGGATGCAATGGAGCTGAAGGGTAATCTCCATTTTTCTTCCATTCTGTTGACAAATTGAACAAATTTGCCTTTATATGGCATTGCATGCTGGAATGAGATGCATGACATATATTAGGTGCCTAGTTAGGTCTGGCAAGCTCTAATGCAGCCAGAAAGCTATGTGTGTTTGATAATTTCCTATAAACTTATAAACATATTTCAAATGATGAATCCACAAGGGCCATACTACATACAAATAAAATAGAAGGAGCCATCTATTTCCCTGTATAGTTAATTCTAAAGGCATGGAAGTAAAACCTTCCAGAGACATGGAGTGTGTGCATGCAGTCTCTACCATGGCATGTGTGCACTGATGTTCTAAATGAGTGCTGTGCTAATTTTCTCTCTTACTTTTTAAACATTCTCTATCAAGTGTTAAGAAATTGCATTCGAAAATAATCAAAACTGAGAGAAGATTTTGGTGAAATTTTCATGGATAGGGTACAGTGTTTTTGATGTGCTTACCTTGCTTTCAAGGTGGCCAATGGGTGGGCTTGAGTGTCCTTTCTTTTACTCTGCAAATTATCTCACCAGTAGTCTGCACTCTGCAGCCTGCCCAGGTACCCATGCTTCAATTAAAGCCTAGGGGAACACATCATAAGATAACTCATTCCATGGGGCTTTTCAGATCAGGAATCGGGGCAGCCAGGGAGGCTGCACAGTGGTGAATAAATGTTTTCTGGAAAGATGCACACACCACTACTCTCTTAAACTCTAAGGCAAGCTCAAAATCCTACACCCACAGAAATGCTGAACAATGAGGCAGGGAAAAATGACAATTTTCACAGGGAAATAAAACTCTGGAGAAATATTTTGGCACAGCACTAGTTCTGGATTGATTGGAACATGAGAGCAAGAAGTCAAAGGAACATGGGAAGCTGTTTATATCACTGATCCATCTAGCTCAGCATTGTCTACCCCAGGGATAGCCAATCCAGCCCAAAGTGTTGCTGAACTACAACTCCCATCATCCCTGATCATTGGGATCATCATCGTTGTGGCTGTTGGGAGTTATAGTATAACAGCATCGGGAGGACACAACGTTGGCTACTCCTGGTCTATGTTGATTGGCAGCAGCTCTCTAGGGTTGCTCATATCAGTCTTTTCTAGCCTTACCTGGATATTCCCAGGATTGTAAGCATGCCACAGATTGAAAGCATGTGTTGTACCACTAACCTATTTAGGATTGAAGACTGCTGTCATTTAGGACAAAACCCACAGAGCTGCATGTGATGCATGGTGTGCTCAGAGGTGCTTCTGAGGACCCACTTCTGAAATATTGAACAAATATTTGGACATGGGGGAGATTTGGGAGGGTCTTCCAACACTGTGCCAGAAACAGTAGATTGAAAGAAACCAGGACTTATGTGCCCTGTTTTGGTCTGATGTCAGATTCCATGGAGAAGGAGGCAAGGCAGATCAAAACTGGACCATGGACAGCTCCAAGTGAGCAACTTGTTCCAACAAAGGTTGGGAGCGGACTGGGGTCTTTTATGCCTCTGTTTCCAGACTGCTTCCTCCAGGTTCCGCTCCCTTGAGTGAGCTTTACTGATTTAAAGACCCAACCCTCTGGCCTGTGCACAGTCACTTCTCACCTGTTCCATAGCTTCCTTCCTGGTGCATTGCCTGTGCTGCTGGACTGGTGATGTGCACTGGGAAGCAACTGGTGCTTCAGGGTCAGGGGAAGGTGCCCATGAGAGTACTATAGGGAAGTTCCTCTGGGGCCTCCTATCTTCATCAATCAGCTCTGAGCCCTCCACTGACTCCCCATCTGGTGCCCCTTTAGCCTCTGACTCTGTGTCCAGATCACTGATGGTTACAGTGGTTATAACATTAAGGGGGATTTTTGTATCCTGTCCCCATCCTTTGCCAAGATGGTAGTACTGGAGCATTCCTTGTTTCCTCTTAATTTCTTAAAATACTAAATATTATCAAAACATGAACAAGGGGAAATTTTCGCCTCTAGTCTATTGCTTCCAGTTATGGTTCTCTCATAACAAATATTAGTCTATATGCCAGGGAAATATTTAATTCACTCCTTTGCTTTTCAAATATCATGGAAAGAACTCTCAGCCTTTTTGGGTCACTTATTTATTGCCTTGTTTGTTTGAGGCATCTCAAGAAGGTGAGGAACAGTAACAGATTTATATGTGAAAACATGTGATAAATATTGCATGCAATTGCAGTGTTGCTATTTCAGTGGTTGATCATTTAGAAACAATACTCTGCTGTCAAAATCATGCACAAAAAGATCAAAATGTCAGGCTTCCCTGGAGGCCAACACTTTCCTTAAGCACAGTGTGCTCTTTCAGGTAGGAACAAATGGGGCATGCTGGTTTCTGGAAAGAACTAATCAGAAAAAAATAACATTGCTTGAATAATATTTTCTCATTGGTTTTCACTTATTTGACATTTTCTTGGCTCCCTTGGTTTATAAAAGAATTAAAATTATAAAGCTGTGGGTTTTTAATAAAAAAAATATTCCCTTCAATACATGAATTATTTGATAGTCTCAAGTGGAATAGTAAATGAAAAGTTCAAAGGACCATTCAACAGGGCATTTATAGCTATGATAGAAATCTTTAGCTGCAGTCCACTGGGGTGTGGGTGTGCATATATATACACACATATACATACGGTATGTATACATGTACATGTATGCGCGTGCACACACACACAGAGCCATTCAGTAGATGTTGAACTTAGGACTGCCAAAGTGGAGCATTCCCCCTCCCCATGTTAAAGTGATTAATACCCAAGTCTGGTAAAGTTATTTTGGCACCTGAGGCAGGAAAAACACCTCTTTCCCTCCCTAAAAATTAACTAACCATTTGTTGTCCTCTCATGATGTGCCCTGGAGACAGTGGCATATCTTGTTTTTCTTTAAATACTCAGCAGACATGAGTGTAGTCCAGTTCTTACTGGGAAGGCTTCTCAGAAGAGGGAAGACTAATCTCACCCTCCCACCAGGATTGGAACTGAGATCCCCCCATTACATGAAAAGGGAGAATGGAGATATTAGCCACCCCTCCCTGTGCATGCAGTAAGAGCTGTCCAGCAAGAATCCTGCATCTCCACACCTATAATGAAGGCGGGGCAGGGGGAGAGGCCAAACTCAACATTTTCCTTCTCTCTTTTGGATTTGTATGCAGTGCTGCCAGGCGATTTGCTACTCTGTTTGTCAATGTCGATGTTACCTCTGAGCCCCATGAGGTCTCCGCTCTGTGGTTCCTGTGGTATGTTAAACAGTGCGGTGGGACATCCAGGATATTTTCAACAACCAATGGAGGCCAGGTATAGTGAACTAGAACCCCTCCCCCCCAGTTATTTGTGTTCAACAATTATGGCAATAATTTCAGACGTTCAGCTTGATTGAGTGAGGGTTGAATGTCTCCAGAGGGCAGAATCTGCCCTCCATGTTCTCCATGCACTGGCCACACCATCTCTGACATTGATATTTTTATTTGGAAGGTCTGAAGGGGACTGAATGTGCTTCGTAGCCTCTTCTAGCTTGAAAGCCCTGATAACAGGATTCTTAGCTGCACAGAGGCTTCCAGAAATGGCTAGAAGCCACCTTTAGACCTTCATGCTCAAAATGTGAAGGTGCTGGGTGTGTGTAGCCCAGCCAGAAGAAAAATATTAATGTGAAGGGGGTTCTATTGTGGTTCATCTGTTCCATCTGGGTATCATTTTAAGCCACCAATTTGGTCTGATGAACTATGTTGTGTGTTTTTTCTGTCTTCCAGGAGAGGAAATTCATTGGAGGTTCTGGCCAAATTTGTGAGAAGATCATGGAATATCTAGGAGAGCTGGTTAAACTAGAGAAGCCTGTTACCTCCATTGATCAGACTGGTGAAAGTGTCATTGTGGAGACACTGGATCATGAAACATACGAGGTGATTTAAAAGCTTACAGTTCTAATATATACAATGGTACCTCGGGTGAAGAACTTAATTCATTCTGGAGGTCTGTTCTTAACCTGAAACTGTTCTTAACCTGAAGCACCACTTTAGCTAATGGGGCCTCCCGCTGCCGCCGCACGATTTCTGTTCTCATCCTGAAGCAAAGTTCTTAACCCGAGGTAATATTTTTGGGTTAGCGGAGTCTGTAACCTGAAGCGTATGTAACCTGAAGCGTATGTAACCCGAGGTACCACTGTACAAGGATTCTCTTTTTGAAGAGGAGAAGAGGATATAAAGGACATTTGTTAGTTGGGCGAAGAATCCCAAGAAACAAAAATGTTCAAACAACTGTGTTCAATTGACTGCGTTAAATATCCACAGTTTGCTGTTATAAACATGAACAAATTATGCCTTGGACCTGTACACTTTCTCCCCCTCTCCTTCCTCTGTTTGTGAGAGAGGAGATGATAAACTTTCCTTCCTCATTCCTTCCTCATAGTTTACCCACAAAGCAGATCTCAAGCACAGATCAAATTATGGTTTGGGATTGTGGTTTAGAAGCAAATAGAGTTTGCACAAACCATGGTTTGCCAGGTTTGGACAACAAAATTGTGAGCAGGTTGCTGCAAACCAGGAATTAAAGATTTAATCTCCCTTCATACCCTGAGGAAGCAGGGAAGGGTAGAAGAGTGTGTGTAAGCCATGGCTTGATTGCCATATCTCTATGCAATAATTGATTTGGTACAGGCAACTCATGTGGGAGTTACATTCTGGGGATAGTGCATAAAACTCAAATCGTGTATAGTCAAAACACACTGGATTCAATAGCAAGCAGGAATCCCAAAGTATTTCTTCCTTTTTACCCCCTTTCTGTCCCCTTTAAAAAATTTTTTAAAGGAAAATTACTAATGTGTAAAGCTTAAATGCATGCTGGTTGCAAGTTCCTTAATGAGTTTATGCTATTGTGCTTTCTTACTTTCTTACTTCTAATTATTTCTCTTGACTGTTGTGACTGTACTCCTTCCTTGTGGCTGCTGTCCTCTTTGTTTTCCCAGGAGACGCCTGGGTATCTAAATGGTATCTAAAACTACCCTTGTGTTCTTTGTGTTGCAAAGAGCCTTTTCAACAATTTATTCAGCCATTTGGAGAAATTCAAAGGTCCATTTCTGTCATCTTCGGAAAAATTGCTTGTCACTTTAAATTTCTGTGACCTGTAACCTGATGAGAAATTTGTATCCTCTTTTGTGAGTCAAATTTCCATTGAAATGTAACCGGAAGTCTGCTAGAATAACACAAGCAGTTTCAAGTATCCTGTGAAGATATTGATTTTTCTTTGTATTTCTTTTCAAGGCCCGGTATGTTATTAGTGCCATCCCTCCAGCACTTTGCATGAAGATTCACTTTAACCCACCGTTGCCTTCCATGAGGAATCAGTTGATCAGCCGGGTTCCTATGGGATCAGTCATCAAATGCATAGTATACTACAAGGAAGCATTCTGGAGGAAAAAAGGTATTTCATGCTGATTGAAGGGAAGGGGAACATGCAGAAATCCCCTAAAGTATACTTTTTCTCACATGTTGTTCTCATGCTGTCTTCTTCAGCACCATCTTAGAGAGATAGACACATAGATGGAGAACTAGACAGGCACATAAATATGTGCATAAAGTGTGTGTGAAATAGATGCATAAAGTGTGTGTGTGTGTTCTTGAATCCCAAAGTGACTAACAATTCTAATAATTAAAAGCAAACAATTAAAGCTAACAATTAAAGCAAACAGTAACATTAAGATGGTGGAACAGCCGTGAAGAGACAACACATATTAAAACCAAAGGCAGCAAAATAACCCCTACTAAGACAGCATTTTAAAGGGAGTCTAAAAGGCCTGAGCAAATAGTGCCAAAAAGATACTGGACCCTCCCTGGGGAAGGTGCTTTGAAGATGGGGTTACATCTTTTATCTTTATGATTAATGTGGTGCACTATGGAGAGCAAGATCTTATGCAAAGAGCTGTCGATATTCTCTGTGTCTGAAGAATTACCATGGTAACCCAGAATCTGGCAGCCACCCAAAGACTATCCATTTCTCTCTCTTTCTTAAAGCCTGCTGTTACCTCACACAGTTGCAGAGTACAATATAGGAATCTCAGAAACTTCTAGAAATCCAAACATAATGGTGGTGCATGGCTGTTCAGGACACTCATAGGGCTGAACTCTTGGCATCTCCCAGAAGGCCAATTTGGTATAGTGGTTAGAATGCTGGACCACTCAGCCAAGAAGCTGACTGGGTACCCTCGAACCAGTTGCTGTCTCTCAGCCTGGTCTATGTCACAGGGTTGTTGTGAAGAAGAAATGGACTGGGGCAGAACCACACATGCCACCTTGAACTCATTGGAGGAAAGTGTAATAAGTATAATAATACTTAGTCAAGAAGGAATAATTCTTCCTGGGACCTACTAGGAGGGTTTTCTAAAGGCCCTTTCACTATGTAGTTTCTCCCAACCACTTTAAGTAGCTGTGTATTGTGACTTTTAAATTGCTGCATATATATTGCATTAAATTTAATGTTCCTGTGGTGTCCCTGTTGTCAAGAGATGTTGTTAAGATATATTATTTAGAGGCATGAGAGTGACATAGTTGTTAGAACTACCTAGATTACTGATACATGGATTCACTTTTCACTCCCATTTCAGATTATTGTGGCACCATGATAATTGAAGATGAAGATGCAGCTATTGGTTTGACACTAGATGACACTAAACCCGATGGAAGTTTTCCAGCAATAATTGGGTAAGGAATACTGAAAAGCCAGCTTCTGAGTCTTTTAAGAGAGGAAGAGAATCAGAAATGAAATGTGAAGAGAATATCATTTGTGTCTTGACTTCAGCATGTACCATACATGCTTGTCTTGAGCAACTGTACCATACAGTTGTAACATCATTCTTTATGGAAAAGCAACCATAATACAGGGCATTGGCTTTATATGTCCTGTAGGGGTATAAAAAGCTGTCTGTGGAGAAGAATTCTTGCCTCAGTCTACTATGTTTGAGTTTGCATCTGTTTAGTTTATAAGCTGCATACCTTTTCATATGTTATGTAGATGTATGGGAAGAGAAAGAATGGGTCCCTCATTCTTTCACACATTTTTTGGTAACATGCAAGTGTGGAGTTTCTTATTTCCTGTGTGTACCATGCATAAACTGTGCCAACCAGGTGTCAAGTGCCCTTGGGCACTTCCATGAGAAAGATCCATGCTTCCCTTTTTCCACAATGTCATGGAAGGAGAGACAAAGTGAGATGGCTGGTGTTTCTGTGTTGTCACATCGCGTGGAAAGATGCTACCTGACAGAGTCTGCATAAGTCTTGAAAAAAGACTTAATGACATGATTGAAAACCACTGGCATCATATGGTCTTAATCTAAACTATAATTATTATTGATTCTATTATGATGATAGAAGTAAGAGCCTGTTCTATATTATTGTATTTTAGTTTTATCCTTGCTCGGAAATGCAGAAAATTAACTCACCTCACCACGGAGGAAAGGTATGAACAATAAACCTCTAGATTTTTTTTCTTCTTGCAGCCCAAGATGTTCCTTTCTTTCCATTCCCATATGGACTTCCCTGATTTTGTATGTGAGCTGGAACTGGTCTGTGACCGAAATAATAAATTCATTCATTCATATGGTGGTAGAATCAGTGGAGGCTGACCCACTAGGGCCAATGGAGCACTGTTCCACCAGCCTCAACCAACCCTCGCCTCCCTTCTTTCTTACTTACAGCCACACCAGGTGGTTGCACTGCCAGTCAAGTTCCTCCTCCTTACTCCCAGTGTTGCCCCAAGTAAAGCTCAGCAGTAAAGACCTTTATGCACTAACAGGTCTATGCAGCTGTTTAAACTTTCTTGACAAGCCATTCATTTTATTGGGGTTTTTTTGGGGGGGGTATTTTTTTGTGTTTTGTTGTACTTGTATATATTGTGCACTGCTTTACATCTTTTATATGAGCTGGCAGCATACAAATATTATTTGTAAATAAACAAATAAATGATTCAGCTGCAAATATATTTCATATAGGTTTTGACTCCCAGGACAAAATGCAGTCAAGGAAGTAATGATGGTTTTGATGGTTTTGATGGTCTCCAAATTAATGCTGTTTGGTATTTGCTAAGTTTAAAGTATTTCATTCGGTGCGTAGTTACTACAACTCCCCAGTCCAGAAATTGATATATGAATGCACGGTCATAACATCTATGACAACATAGTGCGAGAGGGTGGGCCTGGAGTCAGCCTTGTTCTTGCAACAGATGATGAGCGCTATGCATCCATGGGGATGAGGGGAACTCCTCCTGCAGCACTCTTTGTGTATGTGGGAACATGTCCAGAAGACCCACCAACGATGCATCGAAGCTTCTTTTCATGCATGGATTCCACACTGTGCCTTTGTGCAATTTCAGTATGCGCCCAATCAGTTTATGGGAGTCATTTGTGTAGCTGGCTCATAGCAAGCACAGGGGATATGATACAACTCAGCCTGTACAACAGAGCAGCCTGTAATGCATTTTTTTAAAAGTGAGAATCCCACTGATCAGCCATTGGGTGGGGAAAGGAAAGGGGGTCATTTCCATTTGCTTGTATCCTCCTATGAACAGGCAATTGGCAAAGCTTTGTTTTAGCTTTTTAAAGGAGGAGTTCCATACATACAGGCCCATCTATTCAAACTGTACACATAGGATCTGTTTGCACATGTGGCTACTCAGTAGGGCCACCCAGAGAAATTTTGCTACCTGAGGAAGGGCAGAAAAGGCAGAGTCTCCAAGGCTGGCCAAGTTATTTTGGTACCCAAGGCAGAAAATCCGACAAGCACCACTTCCCCCTCCCTCACTTTAAAAATGCAACAATAATGTTTGCTGCCTGTTTGTGACACTCCAGTAGCTGCCCCAGGTGGCCGTCTCACTCAGAAGGCCAGCAGCCCAACAATAGGGCTAGCCTTGTTGCTGCTGATGTTGTCTGCAGACTGTGTGTGGGGTGGTGGGCCCTAGCAGGCTCAGGCCCATGATGTTTATGAGGACCTTTAGAATGTATAGCCCCAATCCCTGTAAATATTAATCTTAAAAACTGAGGTGATAAAATCCAGATGCAGAGCAAATTATAGTTTGTTTCAGAAACGTAAACTCAGCAATATGTTTTTTCTTGTATTTCTGCTATAGGAAAAGAAGGATCTGTGAGCTCTATGCAAAGGTGTTGGGATCCCAGGAAGCCTTGCATGTAAGAGGATAATATATATTGTTTTTATTAATGATTAGCTCTCATGATACAGCTAGCAGGGCTTCATGCATTCTCCTCCTTTAGCAGATGAATCCTAGCAATTTTTTTGTTTGACAATACTCTGGCACCAAATCTTCCTCTGGGGCCCCAGGACAGTGCTTGGACATCTTTTGGGAGATTTATAAGACTAGTCATCTTGGATTAGTTTTCTGAGGTCATAGTCCGTGAAGCTGGACACACAATCCATGACCTCAGAAAACCAGTAGGTTGACTTTGAGTGTTGGTATTTGGGGATATTTCACATGTGGATCTCAGTCAACCACGTGAGGGTTTTCAAAGATGTATTTTGCATTTCAATTTTTCCAAAGATGGACTGAGAAGAGCAAGCACTTGCTATATTTTTTTGTACCTTATTAATATACATTTCTAAGAAACCTTTAACACAGCGGTGGGGCAGAGAGGGATTAAAGTTTATGTGTGTTACCCATTTTCTTTTCTCTTTTATAGTAATTTTACCTACACTTTTAAATGTGCTACCTGGCCTGTATTTTCAAATTGGAGTGTCTTTATCTGTAAATAGATGAGTAAATTTTAAAGTGACATGAGAAATCACTGGGTGCTCCTCACAGATCTCTGAAATAAGTTTTCTGTGTTTTTTTTAAAGCTTCCTCTGTTACTTTTAACCCTGTTAACTCTGCCTTTCTAGCCAGTGCACTATGAAGAGAAGAACTGGTGTGAAGAACAGTATTCTGGGGGATGCTATACAGCCTATTTCCCACCAGGGATAATGACTCAGTTTGGAAGGTATGTTAACAATAAGCAAGGATGTTTCATTACAGAAAGAAACCTGAGGAGATTATAACATCTGAAATACAGTTCCCTAGCTTGTGATTATGCAATGACTGGCAGGAGGGTTGTATTTGTTTCAGCAGTTAAAAAACTGTAAACAGATTCATGTTTTGTTGTTGATTGGCGACCATGCCTTTAATGAGTTAATTAGCTCCAAACAGCTCAGTCCTATCCAAGAGATCCCAGGAAAGTGTGCATCCTTAATTAAAGGGGTACTAGAATGTCTAAGTGTTGGTGAGAGTTTGCAGGTGTTCAGTAAAAGTAACTTCCTCACTCAAGATAAAGCATTTATTATTTGGAAATATCTTAAGTATCTTATCTGAAGCAAAGGTTTTATGTTGCTACTTATATCAGTGCCATCAGCCTTGAGCATCCTTGCACACATAACAGCTCTGATTAACATTCAGTTACAACTCTTGAGTTTATAATATGTCTCTAATAAATCAAAGTAGTAAGCTAACAAATTACGTAATTAATGTTGGAATTCAATGCCTTTGCCCAACAAGGGTGCTCTGTATGTGAACTCAGATTTCTGTGCCTTGAAAACTTTCTGTGTCAGAAGACTGTTACTCAGTTCTAGTCACCTTTCTTCTTCTCAGAAAGTATTTCATAAAGTTGGAAAAGGGGGCCAAAAGCAATCTGCCATAGGTTGCAATCATGATGTGGTAGAATGATATTAGGAATTCTCTTGTCTGACTTACGACTGAGAGAAATGAGTCCCTCATGCTTGCCATATTCTGTGCCTCTTTTAAAGGATAATTCGTGAGCCAGTTGGGAGAATCTTCTTTGCAGGCACCGAGACGGCTTCAGAATGGAGCGGCTACATGGAAGGTGCAGTGCAGGCTGGAGAGAGAGCTGTCAGAGAGGTACAGTGAGCCCTGAGTAACAAGGCCTTGTGAGGCTGCAATCCTATACTCACAGATCTAGGAGTAAGCCCCATTGGACTCAATGGGGCTTTTTTCTTTCATAGGGGCATATAGGATTGCACTGCTGTTATGTCTGAATAAAGGGCAGTTGTATTTGTTGGTTAAAACATTTGTATTCCATGATTTGGCCAAGCAATTTATGAGACACCCATTAAAAGCAAATAATCAACAAAAACAAGCAAGCCACCAAAATGGGAAAGTCAGTACATAAAATCACAGAAGGAAGGGTAGTGGTGGTCAAATGAATCCCAAAATGCGACCAAAGAAAGGAAAATGGACTGAAATTCTAATAAAGCGGAGTCTCCCTTGAGAGAGGGTTGCAAAACATGGGTGCCACAACTGAACAGGCCCTGTCTCACCAGCTGGATCTCTGATGGCTGCGGACTGCTGAACACATACTCTGGTTGTAACTGTGCTTAAAATAATGCAATACATTTTAAAATTGGAAAGAGAGCTTGAAATTCGACATTGGGGATTAGGGCAGGCCTGCAGTATTTTGGACTATTCCTAGGAAATAGTCCATTTTAAAGCCAGTTGAAACTTTACTTGGTTTGCAGATGCAGGATTTATTCCCATGGCTGCATCTTTGGGGGTAACGTTTTGCCTAGCTTGTTTTGATATGTCCTTAAATCTTGGACCTTTCTGATAAATTTGCATTACGTGTGAATTTGTGCACCTCCCACTCATTTCAGAAAGATCTGAAACCTTGGCATGCATTTAGTGTATAATTTTGGGAAGCCTTTTCCAAGGTATTTGGAAATAAAAGGAAGCCATGTAAATGTTATCTTCATTTTTAGATATTGCACTCAATGGGGAAGATTTCGGAAGCAGAAATTTGGAAGCCAGAACCAGAATCACTCGTAAGTTTGCAGTTCTTCCTTTAAGGTGAAATAGTACTGCATTATTATTAATTTTATCAACCATTTCGTGACATGCTTTATACAGGATCTGTAACTAACAGTGAAACCTGTGCATGCTTTGTCACAAGCAAGTCCTGCATAATTCTATGGCTCTTAGTTATACCCAAATAGATGCGACTGAGATTGCCACCTAAGAAGAACATCACATTTGCCTTACACTAATAGTGAATGTTCTTTCATCCAGGATGTCCCAGCCCTGCCAATCACTACCACCTTTTGGGAAAGGAACTTGCCTTCTGTACCTGGACTCCTCAAGTTGTTTGGCTTCTGTGCTCTCTTGACATCAGCGACTGCAGTTGGGCTCTGCACATTTAAACGGGGACTTCTGGTGAAAAACTGAAAATCGATCTGAGAATCTAATAAGAATTGGCAGATGTGTGTGCATTTTCACTATCGTTTTACTCTTGCCCAGGTAGTGATGAATGCAATTCTCAATTATCCCATGTATTTCTCCTATGAAACTTTATCTTGCAAAAGGGTCCAATATGTATTTCTGAGGCCAGTACAAAGTGGGCTGCTGTTGTTATTATTATTATTTTGGTTATTTTTTTAAAGTGGTCTGGTGGAGCCCAGTGTATTGCCATGACATTTTCCTTTTTTACAAAAATCAACTACTATGTTGATCTCACCACAGTGGCAAAGCAAAAATCATTGCACAGTGGGAGAAAAGTAGTTGATCGAACATTTCCATTGCCTCCAAATGTTTTGGGAGAATGATAATTAAATGAAGAGATTATACGAGAGAATAAATTCCAGGATCAACATTCTACACAAATTTAGGGGTCTATTTCTTCAGAAGTACTTTTTGGTTTCTGTTCTTGGGGTTTATTTTTTTGCAGAGATTGGGGTTGTCAAAAAGCTGGAAGGGGTCTCTTTTTTTTGAGGAATTCCACTCCATGGCACATTTTCTAGAACCCATAGGCAAACTACTATTCGACCATGTGTTAACTCCAAGAATGCAAGAGCAGTTACACCTGAGTGAACCCAACAAATGAAAACACACATTTTTAAGGCTTGAGTTATGTGTTTGCAAATATTTTATTTTACATGGCCAAGCCTTAACCTGGTCATTAAAAATACTAGGACCAGATTAAAGTGTGCAAGGGGGTTGGGGGGCATTGATGCTGTTGGGACTCCTGGTTAGACACCCTCCCCCTTGTCACTTCCTGCCTTTGACTTGTGGCATTATGAAGAACTAGGAATGGAGGAAAAGTGTAAATCACTACACACTCAGATTTGGACTTTCTGAAACAGTATATGAATCGAAGCACAGTTCCCTGCATTTTTGTGGTGCACTTGTCCAATCAAGCAATGTTCACAATAATGCAGATATTAGGAGGAAGATATTAGTAAAAAAGAAAAAGAAAAACTAACATTTAAAATGCAGATGGGGAATTAGGTTTGTTAAAAAGTGTACATTAGCAAAGTTGCATAAAGCTTTCGTGTTTATTAGGAGAAATTCGCTCTAACATGCCGGTGAATTTTCATGAGTATTTCTTAAACATGGCAAATTGCTGTTGAGAACTGAATTTAAGATGGGGGAAATGTGAAACTTGAGAGAACCAAAATGGACACATCCTTCCATCCGAAGAAGGAACCTATCAACTCAGGCTAAATACAGGTGCAAATCCCAGTTAGGGGTCATTTCCAGTGTTGCTTTTCCTTTCTCATGTCAAATCAGGGAATAAATTACCAAAGATGATAATCTACAAGGAGCAGCCATATACTGAATCAGAAATTGGTCCATCTAGCCCAGTAATATTTACCAACAGGTTCTGGTTCTTAAGTAGATGCCCAACAACTTAGATCTTTAAGCTGGAGGTGTAACCTGGGAGCTTCTACAGCCAAAGCCTGCTCTCAGCCAATGGCCTCTCAAAACAGCATTGAGATGATTATCACATGGAACTTGTTGACGCTGTTTTGTGAATTGTGAAAGATTCCTGTCTGTCATCTTAATCAGACCACTGCACTGTTATGAAGACTTGTGTACCCTGAGCATTTAGAAACGCCTGACATTGTGAGTAGCTGAGGAAAGAAAACGAGTGCTGCACTTCACACAGGGAGGGACCAATGTGAACTTCGGCAGTAGTGGGCAAAAGAGAGGAAATAATATTGAGATGGACAAAGAACTGTGCATGGTACAAGAGTGCAGCTCCCTAGATATTCCCTTTTAGATATTTGGTTTCCAAAAACATGCAGGCATCCAAACATTTCTAAGCTTTTCTATATGAGTACTGGACACTTGACTACTGCTTCTTATTTTTTAAATGAAACCATGATTTTCAGGATCCCAGCTTCAGCAATAGATACTTGATTTTGAATTTTGACAAACGTACCATATGGAAAGGTATCTTAAAACGTAACATGGAGTCCATGTCTACCTCTGAGGCTATGGGAAAGGTCCTTTCAAGAACCTTGTCATACTTGCATCATCTTGAAGATCTATTATTTTAATAGTCTATAAAAATGATACTAGCTTTCTTTTGCACTTCCTGGATTTGCAGTAGGAACTAACACTTAATGTTGTCCAAAATCTATGTTTACTTCCTATCTGATATTAGCATCCTCGTCAGGTTAAAATGATTTATTATTTCTATGTGTGAAGGGGCTTCTGCTTTGGTTTCTAATGAGATGGCACACAGGAAGTACACTGTGGGAAGGGTCTTGAAGCCCATTTTTCACCTACAAAATAGAACTGCAACATCTTGCTGCTCAAGTAGCTCCAATGAATTCAAGATAGCCAACTAGAATGACATTTCAGAATGTCAGATTTCAATCTGTTGGGAAGTCTGTTGCTTGCCTCTGGCAAGAATTAAGCTGTTTCTCTGTGCTCTGGCTATGCAGTGTGCCGCTGTGAACTGAAGGCACCCATTTAACTTGAGAGAGCTTCTCTTAGGAATTTGAAACACAGAGGAACAAGCCATAGAACAGACATGACGTTTCTTTTCGGGTATTATGGAAGAGTCGTGTACTTACCAAAAGATTTCCAAGTCTTAGAGTTGTTTTGCATTTTTTTCTAAACTAGGATTACCTTTTACTAATGACATTGTGACTCCCTGGGAGTTACATATGTATATTTATACTAACTTCCAAGTTACATCCCTTGACCAAAATGGTATGCCAAGGTTTATTAGCTTTTGGCCTGATGAATTTACCATCCTCTTCCTCTGGGTGGTGTTATGTTTTTTTGTTTCTATTCTTTGGACAGACTTAGGTTTGTTAACAATATCCCAGGGCTGCTATTATGAAGATATTTTTCCTTTTTTCATAATGGGTCACTTTTCCACAATTTATTTGTGGTTACAGAGGAAATTTTAGGGCAGTAGCCAGAACCTGAGGGGTCTCCCAAGGCACAGCAAAGTACCTTGTTGCACACTGTGGCCTCTACCCCTGCCCCCTTTTCTTTTCCAGGTGACACTATTGGAGGCTGTTTCCATGTTCTCCTAAGCTTCAGAAGCAGTTTTCAGGCAATTGAGGAGCAGTAGTAAATGTTGGTTTTTGGTAATGAGAAGTCAACCTGTCTATGTGTGGCCTCTCTCCCGCCCAGCCTTGTGACTCCTGGCTTGAAACTGAAAAGGTTTAAAGAACGGGTTACTGATTGATTGTTGGGCTTCAACTCCCACCAGCCTTCGCCAGCATGGCTAATAGGCAGGGATAATGGGAGCTGTAGGCCAGAAGGTCTTTACCTCTAGCTTAAAGAGCACTGGCGTTCTGAAATTATCATGTTCCACCAGGGCTTAGGGCTCACGTGAAAGCGATCACAGACTTTACCTGATGCCACCTTACCTAAGTTAAATATTTTCTATTAAGGTCATGCCATATTACACTTTAGTAAGCAGTGTCACATCAGGTAAGAGTCATGTCAGGTTCTGCACCAGAAATATCCAGATTCAGATAGGCCTCATCAGAAACACAGAGAACACCCAGTGAGCACTGCTGACAGAAGTGTACTCTTCCCAGTTTCAGGCAGTGGAGGGCTGAAGCATTATGAAAGCTGGTAAGGTCTATTCTGTCTGCCCATCTTCCTGGAAGACCTGGCTGTGCTCCATTAAATGACCCTTGTGGTGTTCTGGAACTATTGTTGTTTGTTTACAAGATGGAAGAGATGGAGATGCTGCTGGAGATTTGGAACCCAAGTGGTTCCAAGGAAAGTGGAAGGACCATATCCTCAAACTGGGATGATGTAGGAGGTGGTGCTAAAGATTTCCCCCGAGTGGGACAGCCTGTATATCCTCATCTTCCTGAAGGCTGTGCTGGGTTCTGGGACCATGCCAGCAATTCTAGATCCTTCCCTTTTTCTCACAGAGGGAGCAAGCCCTGTTCAATTGCTTCTTTTCATCAGTCAGAATGTGCTTGGCTTTATCACTAATTAGAATATTAGTCAAAACAGTGGTGAAGCTAATTCCATTTTAATTATTAAAGAAATTAGTAATTCAAGGCAGTGTTCCTGTGCACACTTACTAGGGACTAAATCTTACTGAATTCAATTGAACTTTTTTCTTAAGTAATAATAATTCCTCAAATGGCACTTGTCAAATTGATATTTTCTAAACAAGGAACATTATGGTAATCGGATGTCAAAGTCTGGTTATTATTTCACCTGAATGCAAAAATGTATCACACAATTGGGTCTTTGAAGGCAAGTCTGTGATAATAACAGGTTGCAGAGTCAGATCACTGGTCCATCTGTCCCAGGATTGCTCACTCTGGCTCGTAGCAGCTTGGTATCTGAATTCATTTTAGCTACAGGTGCCAGAGACTGAACCTGAATGTAAGCATGCAAAGCATCTTCTCATCCACCAAGCAATGGCCTCTTCCCCTCAGGGTCTGTCATGAAGCATTTTACATTTGAGCTTCATAGTTCATCCTCTCAGAGCTTTGCCACAGTCCAGTCATCTTTTGGAAGCATCATAAACACTTGTCTTTGGGCTAAAGAGATGGGACATTAGCTGTGTGCCTCTTTGCTATCTGGGTTTGGTTTTTGCTTTGTTTTGTTTTTCGGTAACTTATGAGACATTATAAAATATCATGCGATGTGACATTTTAGCACGGTGAGTCTTCCTGTCAATAATGTGAGACAGGGGTCAAAGAAATGACCAACCTGAGGTCACTTTATACCAGGTATGGGGCACCTCCAGCTGTTGCTGAACTATGAATGCCATCAGTCCCAGCAAGCACCAGCAATAGTCAGGGATGATGGGAGTTGCAGTTCTGCAGCATCTGGAGGGCCAAAGGCTCCCCAAACCTTGCTTTATACACTGATTTTGTTAGAAATTACAAAGAATGGAGAGGAAAGAGATATGAGACCACAGGAGCTCTGGGTTTCTTCCTATGTATAACTTGGGTGTCAGTGACGGCCATTCAGGTAATATTAGAAGATCTGTAGCACCTGTAATATTTAGTTTATAGAGAGGAGGGGAAGGTGCGCATACAGCTGTTTGTGGTTTGTTCTGCTTTAGTATTCCATAAAGAAGCATTTCCCTATACTGTTGTGAGTAAGCATGCAGCCCTAGGAGTATTTGGCAGAACTGAGGGAGGCGGAGAACAAAGACAGCATATTTTATGCAAAATGTGATTTGCTTTACTGCACCCCTTTCCCCTGTTCTAAGTTATGATGTAGCAGTCACAGAAATTCACCCATCAGGCATGAAAAAGTGGGTTGTGGATTACTTTTTGATCATTTTCAAAAAAGCACTCAAACACTCTCAACAATCCTCAGCTCTTCCATTTAATCATTCTTTTCCACAAATGTTTTGTTTCCCCGCTTTCTTCAGTTCCTCATTTCTTGAGATAAATGAGAATGTGGAGATTTTTTTGGGGGGGGAGGGGGGAGAGAATGCAACTGCTTTTCAGAAACAGAAATCGGTTGCACATTAAAGTCTTACCTCTGGCCTGGAAGTTGGCCTGTGAGATTTGGTGGATGAATGATCCTGCCTTTAGGCAAGAGGTTGAACTTGCTGACCTTCTGTTCTTTCAGCAACATTTCTTGGAAGCATGTCCCACATATTTCAATATAACTTTCTTCTACATCAATCCATGAATGGAAACAGGTTTCTGGGCATGAATTTACACTAACAGTATAAAAGGTTGCTATGGGAAAACCCCAAGCCAACACATGGTGCGGGTACCGCTAAGCTCCAGCACCATGTAAAGAATTTAAAGTGCCTGCCATCTCCAATCACCTCTTTAGCTGAGGAGAAAACAAGAACTGGGGTCAATACAGGGATGATGTTTTCTTCAACCTTCTTATCTACCAAGTGATTAATCTTTCAGAGCTGCTAAATGCTGATCATACCTAAGATAATGTGGGGAAAGAAGAGGAAGGTTTTACAAACCAAATACTGGGCACTCAGCATG